GGGGCGCCTCTCATGGCCGTTACTGATTTCATACTCTGTCAAGTGTTTTGGGGTGTCTCACGGCTATTACTGATTTCACACTCTGTCAAGTGTTTTTGGGGCGCCTCTCACGGCCGTTACTGATTTCATACTCTGTCAAGTGTTTTTGGGGCACCTCTCACGGCCATAACTGATTTCATACTCTGTCAAGTGTTTTGGGGTGTCTCACGGCTATTACTGATTTCACACTCTGTCAAGTGTTTTTGGGACGCCTCTCACGGCCGTTACTGATTTCATACTCTGTCAAGTGTTTTGGGGTGTCTCTCACGGCTATTACTGATTTCACACTCTGTCAAGTGTTTTTGGGGCGCCTCTCATGGCCATTACTGATTTCATACTCTGTCAAGTGTTTTGGGGGCGCCTCTCACGGCCGTTACTGATTTCATACTCTGTCAAGTGTTTTGGGGTGTCTCACGGCTATTACTGATTTCACACTCTGTCAAGTGTTTTTGGGACGCCTCTCACGGCCGTTACTGATTTCATACTCTGTCAAGTGTTTTGGGGTGTCTCTCACGGCTATTACTGATTTCACACTCTGTCAAGTGTTTTTGGGGCGCCTCTCACGGCCATTACTGATTTCATACTCTGTCAAGTGTTTTGGGGGCGCCTCTCACGGCCGTTACTGATTTCACACTCTGTCAAGTGTTTTGGGGTGTCTCACGGCCATTACTGATTTCACACTCTGTCAAGTGTTTTTGGGGCGCCTCTCACGGCCATTACTGATTTCATACTCTGTCAAGTGTTTTGGGGTGTCTCAAGGCTATTACTGATTTCACACTCTGTCAAGTGTTTTTGGGGCGCCTCTCACGGCCGTTACTAATTTCACACTCTGTCAAGTGTTTTTGGGGCGCCTCTCACGGCCGTTACTGATTCCTGTTTTACTTTGGTTGCGATTGTCTGAAGCCGGTCGCCCGAGCTGTGTGTTGTTCAGACCTCTCATCTTCTCACCAAGACTCAGTGACATTTGCTCTCTCCAAGTGCACGCCAGCAGAAAATACTGCGGTCCACATGGCGGGGAAGCGGATTAGGCTCGGTGGTTTATTCTTGCTCCTTACTTTTTTCCCTTGCACCACGGGTGGCTGAGAAGCAGCTACATTTTGAAGGGCAGGGAAGGACCACAGCAGTGGTAAGAACTGCAGCCGAGGCTGAGCCACGCCGTGAGCATCCCCTCCACCAGCCGTGAGAGCGCCACAGCAGCGTGGCTGCCACAGTGCCTCTTTATCAGGGAGGAAGCGGGATCAGAGAGGTCAGCTCACAGGACAGCACTGATTCTCAGTGGCACGGGCATCTCTCAGCACCAAGCCCGTGTGCTGCTTTCCTTGTTTCTCTGTTTGGCCTCAGCCCAGCGTTGGGTTCGTCCTCCTTGTTGGCACTTGGCCACCGCTGTCGCTGTAAGGGCCCTCATCTTTGTCATTCCTCTTCTTGGTCCCTTGAATCCTCATTCCCAGCTCCAACTTCTGCTCCCCTCCCCCACCATGAGCAGCTGTCCTTGCTGGCCTCGTCTCCCTCCTGCTGTTCTGGAGGAGTGTGTGTCGTTTTGTTTGGACTTTGATTTCACTTCCAACTGGGGTGCTAGCGCCATGTCCCATTCCCACATGGCATCTCCAAGACCCCCCTTGCTGTGGGGCAGATTAGCTTCTGTGCGCACCACAGTGGACACCCTAGCGGGGGTGCCAGCATCATGTCCCATTCCCAGGTGGCATCTCCAAGACCCTGCTTGCTGCGGGGCAGTTTAGCTCCTGTGGGCGCCATGGTGGGCACCCACTGCGCTCTGCCTGACCCTCCCCAGGTGATGGACACAAGCCTTGGGCACTTCCTGGTGTGTGCCCTGTGTGGCTGTGGGAGGGGTCCTTGGGTGCTGGCAGGACTTGCCAGGCCCTGCCATCCCCACCTCTCAGGGCTGGGCCGAAGGCTGTGCAGTTTGTGCTCCATGAGCCACACCAGGACTCCCCTGTGCCCATGTCTGGCCACACCTGGCACGAGCCAGTTTCTACATTCTGGGAGTGGGAGGTGTAAGGCTCTGCGTCCCGGAGACTAAGCTGCATTTCCGGCGTTCAGGCCCTGTGGATGGCCTGTTCACACGGTCCTGTCTCTGGGCTGTGGGCTGCTGCCTGAAGTTCAGCTGTGCCTGCCGCCCATGCAGAGGGCTGTCTGCCCCATCATCACCGGAACTGGACGTTACAGTGAAAATTAATCTGCATGTCCCACCTGGGGCCATTTTGGCAGCAAACTCCATGTCTGGCAATTTCCTTAAAAATGCCGTGTGTGCGAGGGAGTGGCACGCGTTTGAGTGATTAGCTCTTCACCGCTGCTGACGAGGAACACGGAAGCTCTGGGATCCACGTGTGCCGATGAAGAACCACCTCCAAGAGGTGAGAGAATTGCTCAGTGCGCAGCTGTGGCCCCAGGTCAGGAGTCCGTCGGCTCGCACCAGCTCCACATTCGGCTGGACGCTCCCTGGACAGAGCTGGAAGTACCTGCAGGGGCCTCTATAAAAAAAAACCGAAAAACAACTGGAAAAAAATAGGTGAATCTTAGCAAATCTTTGTAAGCGGGAACCTGGGGTTGCAGCATTCCTGTGGCCTCCGCAGCACCCTGCTGTTGGCCCCATGGGGGACTCGCCCGCATCCCGGCCGTCCTGAGCGTATGTGTTCGTCTCCCCCTCGGCACATGGCGACGCCTCACCCACCTAAACACACAGGCGCCGGCGATGCCCTGATGGGCCCGGGGCTCGGACGCTCACCTGGCCTCCACGTTGCGCCGTTCGCACACGGCCGAGGGGCTGGCAGTTCTCCGCGGTGCTTTCCCACTTGAAATGTTCTTTAGCTGGATGCATGTCTACCCGCCTTTCTGTTTGTGATTTCTGCCACCGACATCCCCAAACTTATGTCGTGACTGACTTCCACATGAAAATTCAATTTTACTGAAATTTACCTTCCTGTGTGCTGAGAAATGTGAACACGGCTCCATCTTGTTCCAAGCAACCAGGCGGCCATGCTCTGTCCTGCCCTGGGAACAGGACTGCCCGGACTCCCTCAGATGCCCGGCCAGCCGCAGCGCGTCCTGCAGCAGCTCCCTCCCTCCCCATGCCTGCCCTCGCTCAGACCAAAAGCTAACCTCCCACACATTAGTTTTAGAGCCAAACTCGAGTCATGCTGGCCGCAGCACAGAAGCAGCAGCAGCCTCTGCAGCCTGGTCCCAGCACCACCACCTGCTGCATCCCAGGGAGGACCCCTAGGCCTCACCAGCCAGCACCCCTTCTGTGGCATCACTGCCTTCCCGGGGTCTCAGGGGATCTCACTGCAGTGATAACATGGGGAATCCTTCCCCCTTCAAAGGCTGGAGGGCTCGCTCAGGATTTCTCAGCAGTCAGAGCTGCAGGCCCACACCCTGGGGCCAGGCTGCAGAGCCAGCACGTCCGAGTCCAGCTGAGGTCCAGCCAGCTGTGGCCCTCCCGGGTTTGGGGGTCTCAGTCTGTTGCCTCCGATGCCGGGCGCCGTGCCCTTGCCTGCTCTTCGCCGGCCATGCGCAGTCCAACCGGAGACCCGTGATCCTGAAGGGCTCTCAGAACGCGCCTCCAGTCTCTCACCAGCACACGACGTTTCAACCACCAGGACCAGGCTGGGAGATGGTGCCGTAGCTGTCTGAATACAGAGCCACTCGGCACAGATTGGCTTTGATGGCACAACCCTAAAAATATCCCCAAATAGGTGGCCTCACGGTCATGCCCTCAGGGAATGGGGCGCAAACAGGAATGATTCCCGTCCTTCAGAGACGCGGGAGGCAAGTGTGGGCATCACACTAACGCTCCCCACCACCCTGCCCTGTGCTCAGGTCCCAGTGCTGAGGACACGGCCACCCCCACACCCCACTTTTCCATCCACGGCCGTCTGGGCTGCATCTGTGCTGTTAGTTCAGCAGAGGGCTGTGCCTGAGCCAGGACAAGCTCCTCACTACCATCCCCAAGGGTCACCAAAGCCCAGAACAGGGTCCCAGAGAGGCATATCGTTGGAGTGGGGATGGAGAGTTGAGGCTCCGGAGCATCCCCTCTGCCCAATTCTGAGCAGTGAGAGGCCTTGTTTTGGGGCCCTGCATCCCAGTCCTGGTGACCACACAAACCCTCAGCCCTCAGTCTCTGCTCTGGCCACGAACTGCTCCAGGGCTGCGGCTATGCCAGCAGCCTCCGGGCCCACCCATCTCTGACAGAGACTACCAGCAAGGTGTGCAGGGCCCAGGGCTCAGGGCCAGGTGGGGGCCACGGGGCGCAGGCCAGCACCTGGTTCACCCAGAGTGAAAGAGAAGCCACAGGAGAATGTGCCAGGGACTCCAGGGTGTCACGAGGCCAAGGTCTGGCTCCACTCATAGGGAAGACCCATCTCCCAGGCCCGCTCTCTGAGCCCCAGTGCCCTGGCCTCGGGTTCTCTGCCCCACATCCCTCCCTGCTGCCAGGGCTCCAGAAGTCCCAAGGTGCAGCCTCCAGCTCCATTCTTCCTGAGTCCTGGGTAGTTCCATGCAGCAGGCACCACTGCACAAGGAGCTGACACATGGGGAGGCAGTGGCTGGTGCCCAGCTCCGGCACCAGGGCAGCGACCAGGCCAGGGCTGAGTCCAGGGAAGGCCAGGTGGTGTCCAGAGGCCTCTCGGCGCAGCCGGGTGTCTGAGGCATTGTCCCAGGACACTCATGCAGGCCGGCTGCAGTGCAGGGCCCCCAGGAATCCCCGGGCATAGGTCTCCCACGCACCCTCCGCCCAATTCTCTCCATCCAAGATCTCACAGGGGAAGTGAGTGAACATTTAAAATACTTTGGTGCAACAGAGACTCAGATCAGCCACAGAGCCCTGGACACCGTCCTGTTCCGTCACCCGGTCCTCGGCAGCTCTGCCCTGTCCCTGCCCCGCCCCCATGTCGCCTGGAGCCACAGCTGCAGACAGGTGCGTCTCTGGCTAGTTTAGTCTGCACATGTTTTGAGAAGAATTCAGTTAGCTTTTATTAGTACAAATTTAATCAATTTTAATTAATTTTAACTAGCTAATTCTAAGTCTTTAATTAGTAAAGAACAGGGTTTCACATAAGAATTACAGATTTCAAACTTCTCTTTAAAAGTTGGAAACATCAAAACCCAAGGCCACAGTGGGGTGCTCGTGGGGACCCGAGGTGGGGGACGAGCTGCTGATGGTCAGGCCTGGCTCAGTCCACCCTCGGCCCTCACAGGCCCTGCTGCCCCGAGGCCGGAGCTTGCAGTCTTGGGTGGACCTGGTCTTTCTGTCTTCCGCCGAGGAGGAGACGCTGACCTGCTCCGCTCAGGAAGCTCTGGTCTTCCCGGACCGCAGGCAGAGAGGACCTCTGCTGGAGTCACCCCTGGGTGACTCTTCCGGGGACCCCGAAGGGGAGCATTGTTGTGGCCTGAAGAGGCCCCTGCTGGTGGCCGCCTGGATGCTCAGGTTCCTCTTTTCAGCTGTGTGCCCCACCGCAGCTTCTGTTCTTGGCTTTGACCTATGACCTCCAGCCTTCAGAGGTGGTGCCCGGCGTGGGGATTCTGCATACAGGAGGAGAGTGCTCCCTGCCCCACTGCCACATGCCCCTCCCACCTGGCCCCCAACAACCCAAGCCAGGACTGATGGGGAAGTGGGAGGCGAACCCTCCCCCCCACCCAGACTGCACCAGCGTCGGACTCCCAGGCTCAGGTGGGGGCTGGGCCGCGGTGGCCTGGAATGGCCTTGCCCTGTGTGGCCCTGGGGACACAGTGGCTGACCACTGCAGGCCAGCCCTCTAGCCTCAGTGGTCCTGTCTGACTGCAGACCCAGGCGGGTCACCGTCCTCCCTGCCTCACACTGTCTGCAGTCAGCTCGGAGGGCCCCAGGCAGAGCCCAGGTCAGGTTAGGGCCACCCAGAGCTGGGTGGGGTGTCTTCCTGGAAACCGGATGGGAGCTACTGTCCGTGGCCATTCCGGGCGTGCAGACCTCGGTCCAGGCGCAGCGTCGCGGTGATGTCACTCACGGGCCCGCGGGCACCGCGTGGTGGATTCAGCTTCAACGTCCGAGACCCCCTCCCGGCACCTCCTCCGGGACCCGCATGGGCGGCAGCTGAAAGCGGTGGGTGCGGACTCGCTGGGCCCCTGGGCTGGCGTGAAACTCCGCATGAGTCACTTTCTGCCAGCGCCCGCCCGACCCGGAGGCTTCGGTCCCAGGCCCCGCGCCAGCCTCAGGCGCTGCCCCACGCGGGCCGCCACCCTCCTGCGTCCCACGGCCGCGCGGGCTCCACAGGCCAGGACGGTGGGTCTGCAGCAGCCCCTGAGCCCCCGGACGCCGCCATTCAAGCCCGCCCCGCCTTTCCCACCGGCCCTTCACTGCCTCTGTCCCCGCCGCCCCCCCGTGTAACCCCCACTCCCCACCGCCCCCGCCCCTACACCGTCCCCACTCCCCCCCACCGCCCCGGCTCCCTGCAAACCGCGCCGCCCCCTTTGCCCCCACGCGCCCCCGCACCCCCGCCGCGCCGTCCCCCGGCCCCGCCTCCTGCCCCGCCCCGTCCCCGCCTCCTTCCCCGCCCCCTTCCCGGCCCCGGCACCGCCCCCTGCACTGCGAGGCTGCGGGCGCCGCTCGCCCCCTGGTGGCCAATCCCCGCGCTGCGGTCCCGGCAGCCTGGCACTGGGGAAACCGAGGCCTGCAGGGTGCAGACGGGGCGGCCCCACGCATAACCCAGAGGCGCTTCTGTAACAGGGCGCGGGTTCTGGAAATATAAACCCAGGAAACGGACCTGAAGTCCTGATGCCATCACAGGAGCTGCTTCTGCGGAGACGCGAAGGCCTCGCTATTGAAGCAGCGAACAGGGCCCGCTGCTGGGATTTGGTGAATCTCGACAGTCAAAAGCAAATAAAATGGGAAAAACACGGCCCGGCCGGGCGCGGAGGCTCACGCCCGTAATCCCAACACTCTGGGAGGCCAAGGCGGGCAGACGGATCACCTGAGGTCGGGAGTTCGCGTCCAGCCTGACCAACATGGAGAAACCGCGTCTCTACTAAAAATACAAAATTAGCCGGGCGCGGTGGTGGGCGCCTGTAGTTCCAGCTACTCGGGAGACTGAGGCAGGAGAATCGCTTGAATCCAGAAGGCAGAGGATGCGGTGAGCGAGGTCACACCATTGCACTCCAGCCTGCCTGGGCAACAAGAGCGAAACTCCGTCTCAAAAAAAAAAAGTGGGGGGGAATCCAAATACTAAGAGGAAGGTTCACTTGACAACTTGTCATAACGATAATGGTTAAAATGACAGCGCAGCAGCTTCAGTCACCACAGCCAAGCAATGTCCCAAATGTCCGACCAGGAATGGATGAAAAATCAGACGTGGAGAGGTTCCCAGGGAGTATCGCCAGCCTGGAAGGAAGTTCTCACCGCCCTGCCACATGCTCAGTGCACCTGGCCAGGCGCAGAGGACGCCCACTGTCTGTGCTTCCACTTAGAGGCCCCACAGCGCCAAACCCCACCCAGAAAGAGGGATGGGGGTACGGGGGTAGGGGTGAGTGTGTCCTGGTGCAGATGGGGGTGACAGCCGCACAACACTGTGAATGTCCTTAGTGCCATCGACGTGTGTGGGTAAAATTGGTTAACGTGGTACGTTCTATGTCTCTTTTACCACAAAACAAAACAGCAGCAAGGCCTGGTGCTGGGCCTGGGCTGTGATGGGCCGGGCTGCCTCCTGCTGAGCCGCCCCCTGGGCCCTCTGGACTTTGCTCTAGGAAACCCTCGTGGGCTGGAGGATGTCGGTCATGACCCTGATGCACCATCATGATCCTTGCACAGATCCTGAAGGTCGGCGGCCCCCTCCCCACAGGGGTGGGAGGGATGTGCCAGGCTCTGCACCTGGCAGGACCAGTAGAGCCTCCAGCACAGGACCGATACCCAGCCCTGCTTACAAACAGCACCCACAGCTTCAGAGGCCCCAGTCCTCCCGTCCCAGTCCAGTACAGGACCCAGCCCCAGCCCTGCTTACAAACAGCACCCATAGCTGCAGAGGCCCCAACCTTCCCGTCCCACCCTCCAGTACAGCACCTAGTCCCAGCCCCCACTTACAAACAGCACCCACAGCTGCAGAGGACCCAGTCCTCCCGTCTCAGCCTCCAGCACTGGACCCAGCTCCAGCCCCCACTTACAAACAGCACCCACAACTGCAGAGGTCCCAGCCCTCCCACCCCAGCCTCTGGCAGGGCCCCATTCCCATCCTGCCCCGGCCCTGCACCTGGCCACTTGCTCCCATCCCACCCCAGCCCTGAGTCTGGCCACCCGCTCCCATCCCACCCCAGCCCTGAGTCTGGCCACCTGCTCCCATCCTTCCCCGGCCCTGCGCCTGGCCACCTGTTTCTGTCCCACCCTGGCCTTGCGCCTGGCCACCTGCTTGCTGGGGTGGGAAGACGCAGGGCCGGGGTGGGATGGAAGCAGACTCTTATTTCTTCTCAGCATCTGTGCTGAGTCCTCCGGGCGAGGGAGATAGTGGAAACTCATGGTGCTGTAAGCACAGGCGCCTTAAACACGAGGAGTCTGCCCCCTGCGATGTGCCAGGAGGAAGAGCTTCCATTGTGTGAGGTCTTGTATAAAAGTGAGCACAGGGGGCCAGGGAGAGCTGGGGCTGACGCTGCCCTGGGTGCCCTGTTCTGGGCGAGAGGCCATCCACTCTGCTGGTGACTGGGTTTTCGCACATTAGCCCTTGTGTGCTCTGTGCACTGTCTTCCTATCAGCACAAAGGCAGGGACAGGATGGACAGGCCACCCACAGACCATGAACCCGTGTCAGGTAGGACTCATGGCCCAGGAACAACCTGCATGCTCCGAATTAGGGGTCTGGGGCCACACCCAGGGCCGGGCTGAGACTGCCGCACTCCACTGGGACCCGCTCCTCTGCTGAGACCCGCCCCACTCTGCTGGGCCTGGCCCCTCCCTGCTGGGGCTGGGGCTGCCCTGGGTGCCCTGTTCTGGGTGAGAGGCCGTCTGCTCTGCAGGTGACTTCGGATTATAGCACGTACTTGTCCTTCCTCCACATGGTCCCGAGACCTGGGCCTGGGCAGGGACAGGGCGTCTCTGTACCCTCAAGAGCTGCCAGTCCTGGACTGGCTGAGGCTGCAGGTGGGTGTGGTTCTCCCCATCAGCTCTCCCTGGGGCTCTCCCTGGGGCTTCCTCACCCAACAGCCACCAGTGTGCACACTGCCTGCTGGTGGTACAGCCTTCAGGCCTCCCTGGAGTAGAGAGGAGAGGAGTTCTGCTCTTCAGACAGAACTGGACCAGCCTGGACCAGCCTGACCGCTGCTGCTCAGGCAGAGAGGGAGGTGCTGAGGCCAGGAGGCTGCTGCCCTGGGCAGACACCGACGTGGCACCCCAGCCTCTCCCTTGGTGCGTGGCAGGTCTCTCTGGTCCCCTCCCTGGGGTCATCACTGTCACCTCTTGGGGATACTGTCAGTCCCCCCACACAGCCAGCCTTGTGGAGCAGTGGGGACTGTGGGTCAGGCACTCCGGGCAGACACCTTTTGTAGAGAAGCAAACTCCACCCCTGCTCTGAGGGATGCAGCTGACACAGCCACCAGGAGGCTGTGCAGGAAGCCGAGGGTCTCGGGCCAGCGTGACAACAGAACACCCAGGAGAATGGGTCCATCTCCACACTGCCCTGAAGTGTGGATGTAAAGCAGACATCATGAACACACAGGAGGCACGAACCCCAGTCACGGAGGGAACCTTGGCTCTGGCAGACTTGACAGATACCCCAGAAAATGTATGAATGAGGCTATATGGCCGAAATCCCACTGTCTGCAATTTATTTAGATTTTATTGTTCATGTGAAACACATCATGCATAGAGAAGATGCTTTTTTTTGAGACAGAGTTTTGCTCTTGTTACCCAGGCTGGAGTGCAATGGTGCGATCTCAGCTCACCATAATCTCCGCCTCCTGGGTTCAGGCAATTCTCCTGCCTCAGCCTCCTGAGTAGCTGGGATTACAGGCACACGCCACCATGCCCAGCTAATTGTTTGTATTTTTAGTAGAGATGGGGTTTCACCATGTTGACCAGGATGGTCTCGATCTCTTGACCTCGTGATCCACCCGCCTCGGCCTCCCAAAGTGCTGGGATTACAGGCGTGAGCCACCGCGCCCGGCCAAGAAGATGCATTTTTTTCGAAAGCCCAGGAGCAAGTTTAAAACATAACCTAAAATCAAGCCACACGTCGAAGCTCAAAACAATTTCACAAACTGAAAAACTGCTTAGGCCAACTTTAACCTTAACTTTATAAAACATCTCAACGAAACCAGCAAACACAACATCTGGTCCCTGGAAACGTTTTAATCATCCCTCAAATGAGTCCTGAGTCCAAGAGGAAATCAGGCAGAAATCATGTCCTACGTGGAGGCTGAAGGCAAGCGTGGGGACGCGCCTACGGGCCGGGGCAAAGGCGCCGCTGAGAGGAGTGAATCACCAAATGCTTTATCATGCCCAGTTTTATTAATCAAATTAAAGGAACATAGCAGGGAACTCGGGAACTAGAACAGAAAAGGAGCAACAAAACCAACTGGGAAAGAAAAACGAATGAGAAAAGCAGAAACAATGACTTGGAAGGCAACGGAAACGTCACTTTTTAGATCCAAAAGGTAGTTCCTTAAAAGAAATAACCGGAACAGAGTGTGCTGGCCGATGTAACCAAGGTCCCAGTGCTGGGACCCAGAAAGGGTGCCCAAGCCAGGTGCAGCTGGGACCGTGGAGACCAGGAGAGGAGAGGGAGACAACAGGTGTGGGGGGAGGAGAATGGGGGAGGGCTGGGGGAGGGAAGGGGTGGGAAAGGCAGTGGAAGGGGGAGGAAGGCAGAGGAGGGAGTGGCGGGGGGGAAGCGGAGGAGGAGAGGCGACCCCAGACTGCATGCCCTTACACCACCGCGTGTGTATGTTGAGAGGGAACGCCAATCATCTACGACCACATGCATATGGATGCCAACCATCCGGGACCACGTGCATGCAGATGGAGATCCTCCAGGACCACGTGCATGCGGATGGCGATCATCCAGGACCAGGTGCCTATGGATGCCGGTCATCCAGGACCACGTGCATACGGATGCCGATCATCCAGGACCACGTGCATATGGATGCCGGTCATCCAGGACCACATGCACACGGACACATTCAGAAGAAGAGATGAAACCTCTGTGCAACAAAACCACAGAAGCCCTGGGCGTGCAAGCCCAGCCTCCGAGCAGCCTCCCAGCAGGGCGCTGTACCCCTGTGCCCCTGAACCGTGAAGCCCCAGGTGGATGGAGCGTCAGCTGTGGTCTCCCCTTGGCTGGGAGAACTGATCTCCGTGCTGTCCAAACCTGCCTGTTTATTTCACCAATCCCACTCCGGATCTAAATAAGACAGTGTAGTCAAGGAAAT